AAATGTTGGTTACTACTATTACTCCACTAAATGTGATTTGACATCACATTACATTTGCTCTAAAATGGGTGAAGAAGACCACTGGCATTCAACTACATAAAATTTAGGGGATTTTTGGTAAGCAGGCACAAACCTGCCCTGCTTTTCCTGCTGCCTGACAGGGCCCTGGGAATAGCAGAGCACCCTCTGACCTGGCATATGGACTTAACAGCCCCCCACACACACACACACAACATCTCCTTGTAAAACGTGTATGTCTGCTGCAATGGTCTTGTTATATGCTGGCAAAAACAAGGGAAAATAATTTTATGTTGTGCCTTCCATGAATTTTAATCACTCTGCCAGGTAGCATGAGAAGTTAGTAAACTTAGTCAACAGTCCAACATCTGCATCTCAGTTGTAGTATTTATAAATCTGGGATTTCATGAAGTTTCTTTGCTTTCTCCCATTTAAATATTTTATTTTGTGGCTTGCACTAGTCTAAACCACACACCATTACCCCTCACGATCATTACCCAGCCCATTTCAGATATTTAAATCAAGTCATTTATAACCGTTATTTTTCCTTTTCCAACTCTGGGATAATCATATCTCAGACACATAAGATTCAAATTTTGAAAATACCCAGATTTCCTAATAAGCAAATAAATTCTGCTACATATTTATGCTGGACAGCTTGTGACCTAGTGGCGGGCGGGTGGGGGTGTGTGGAAATGTACCTACATCAATGTGATATCAGAAAAGGATATGGTCAAAACCTCTCCTTGATGCTACCTAGAGCTTCAACTGCAGTTCCTTCTTCTCTGATTAGTAGTTTGGGCACCACTGATCCTCTGGGATTGGGTCAGCCCACTCTAAGGGAGTACTACCTAGGGAACTCCAGTCTGGTTTAGGCCTAGAGATTTGAGGAGGGCTCTATAAATCATTTCTCTACTGAAACGTGTTCTTTATCTGATCCTGAGCCTGCATCTCTCAGGAAGTTTGCACACCCTTTAGAGGCAGAATGGCACTGTAAGAATGTTCGAGTTGGCTCTGGAGCCTGTCTGAATTTGAATCCCAGCTCTCCCGGTTTGTTATATGGCCTGTGTGCCTCAGTTTTCCCATGTGTAATAGAGATAATATTTATACCAAACTCATAGGACTGCTAGGAAGATAAAATGAATTAATATATTTATTTCAAGAGTTTAGGATTAAATCATTTAGACCAAGGCCTGACATACAAAGCAACCAATAAATGAAAGCAATTTTGATTATCCTTAAATATTTTAACTTTAAATTTAATTTCTTAGAAAAAAATAAAATGTTACATTCAATTCCTAATGTGATTTAGCCCACTTAAATTCCAATAATGATTTGGTGCTTAGCTTGAGCTCCATCTGGTGGTTTTACAATTCTCTGGAAAACATCAGAATCTAATAATAAGAAAACAAATTTTTAAAAAGTAACTCATTGAGAAGATTAAAATACTCTGCTAAACTTCTTAATTTATAATCTTTAGGAAGAGAACAACAGAGTGATCATACCCCTGCACTCATTTTGGAACGCCAGTTGAAATTTCCCATGAAAATGTGGAGGTGGGCAGAATCTTGCTGGTAGTGCAGTGCTCGAACTCTGTGCCTTAGAGACCCCAATCACTGGCTAGGGCAACACAATTTCTCTTTAATAGCCTCTTTCCAGAGGCCACTAGACACTTGAGAACATGTTTCCCAAATAAGTTTTTGATAGCAGTGTTTTCTTTTGTTTTTTAAAATATTTTCTTGGGGAAAGGGAACAGTATTGGGGAATTTGGGAAGAACAGCCAAGTTGTCCTTCAATCTTAGTTGTGGAGGGCGCAGCTAGCTCAGCTCCAAGTCCAGTTGCCACCATCCAGCTGCCTGACAGTAGCTCTCAGCAGCTCAGCTCAAGGTGCCGTGTTCAATCTTAGTTGTGAGTGGGCGTAGTCCACCATGCCATGTGGGTGTCAAACCAGCAACCTTGTTAGGAGCATGTGCTCTCACCAGGTGAGCCACCCTGCCACCTGTTGGCAACTCAGCTTGGGCACAACTCACTGGCCCATATGGGAATCGAACCGGCGACCCTGTTGCTTAGAGCTCATGCTCTTAACCAAGTAAGCTTCCCAACTGGCCAATAGCAGTGTTTTATGACTTTTGATTTTGTTGACTTTTAAGATAAATCCTGACTGGACAAACTTCATGACAGGATGAGCTTAAGTGAACATGCTAATGTCATGGAGAGGCCCTGGATGACAGCTCAAAGCCACTACCACTGGAGTCAAATTAGAGGCTATCTGCAACAGAAAACAAATATATTCCCAGCAATAACCTCTGACCTCAACTTAAAGAAAATCCAGCTTAAAAAAAGAATACCTGACAATGCTGCCAAAATTTAAATAACCACCAAGTGTGTAACATCACTGATGTATACAACTCCTACGGAAAAAAAAAAATAATTTAGGGCTGGCCGAGTGGCATGTTGGTTAAGAACTGGCTTGGGACGCCAGAGGGCCCTGGTTCGGATCTCACACATGAGGGCCAGTGACACTGCCCTCCACAGCTAAGATNAAAAAAAAAAAAAAAGGAAACGAGTTGTCTAATGATGGCCTAGTAAATTCCTGTCTGGTTGCTAGTAAAGGAGAATTCTTTATGAGTCAATTTATGGGTATCCTTTTTCTTTAATGTGTGTCCTTTAAGAAATCCTGCATCATATGGAAATTACTAAACTCAGAGTGTACCAAGTTTATAACAGAACCTGAAAAAAAGCTAACATGGTATATAAAAAAGCATGCCTGAAGAGACCTGCTTTCTTTAAATAATTAAATTCTTACAGAGCAAGTGAATTTCCATTTTACAAGTTAACCATATATTAGAACTTTGACCCTCTCCTAAAAATACATATTCACATTGTATTTTAAATTAGAGAAAGCTGACTGCATCTTGCTTAACATACCAGGCCAAGGCCTTTGAATAGACACTTGGCACCAGAAAAGAAGAAAAAAAAACAACTTATGAAAATGTCTTGTTATGCCATAATTCAGCATTACTAATGCTTTAAAAAGCTGAATCATAAACTGGATTATTGAAAAAACCTTTTTAACCCAAGTTACCAGTTTGTATAAAAGCAGTTTTAACAGAATAGTTAAATGACCTTGGTATATTTAAAAACCCTTAATTCATTCCCACATTCATACATTTGAGTGTGCACTCTATGATAGGTGGTATGCTCAGTATACAAACATCAAGGAAACCTAACTACAGTCTTCAGGAAACTTTAACCCTTGATGGAGGGACAAGGCTTAAGAGTCAAATTGGATGCTGCTTCTGCGCCCTCAGAGCTGGAAGGTGCCTGTGGGGTTGGAGGCACAGTGGATAGCACTGAACACCTCACAGAAAGTGGGCTGTTTCTCCATCTCAAAGGCATATGACACTATGGACACCATCCAGTGGAACCCCTGCAGTCAGGCCTCTCCCACGGAAACCCTGATCTGCATAATCAGTAAGGACTAGGAAGACTTCTGGGATTCAGATGGTTGACCCCATGTTGCCCAGGCCCTGGATGATGGGAACTTCAAGACAAAGTTCTAATAAAGATGAAAGGAACAAGCAAAAGAACCTAAGTACCAAGCTGCTCAAAAAAAGGTCCACAGCTGGCTGCTGACACAACTAACCCCAGAAGCTCATCAAATGGATTGAAGCCAAGTGTGCAAAACAGAAATGAAGGCAGGTAGGGCCTACTGCTCTTCTTTTCCCAAATTAGACTCAATAAAAAGTTCTCAGATACTGCTCTTTCCTTGTTTTCTTCCTAGCTCTCTGATTGCATTTTGCACCTTGCATGTGGAATTGCCTGTCACTCTGTCCAAGTCCCACTAATTCTTTTTAAGTATTTCTGGACTCTGCATATTTTCACCTTTATTTGATGTAAAAAACTGAAGTTGCACGTGTCCATTTATCCAGCAATTCTGCTTCTAGGTATATTCCCTACTTGGGCAAACTCTCTTATCTGTGCATACTGGGAAACATACAGAGATATACATAGCAGGACTAATTGTGATGACAAAATGGAATGACCATATAAAATTCAATGACAGAAGAATGTATGAATAACTATGGTTCATTTATAAAGTATAATACTGTACACCAGTTTTTTTCAAACTTCTTGGTCTTGCGATTCCCTTACACTCTTAGAACTAAATTACAGTATGTCATATCAGAAATTAAAACTGTTTTGAAAATTTGTCACTTTAAAAAGATTAATTACATGTCTATATTTTTATTTTTTTAAAAATTGTTATTTCCCAAACCAAAATATAATTTACTGAAAACAATGGCATTATTTTACATTTTTTTAAAAAACGTCAAATCTTCTTTTGCTTATTTAGTATCTTTAGTCACAATTCAGTACATTCCGCCTTTGGACTGAAAAAATTAATAATAGCAGATGACATTAAGCACATAGTTTTATGCTATATCCTGTCGTTTAATCCTTATAACAACATCCCAATAAAGTAGGTATTATTATACCCATTCCAAAGATGATGTAAAAGAGCTAAGGAAGGAAGGATAAATAACGTGCCAAAAGCCACATAACTGGTTGATTGCACAGCAATGATTCTAACCTAGATGCTCTTACTCACTATGCTGTATTAAACTTGAGTATAGCATCATACAACTGGGTATTCAACAATTAACTGACAATGATGAAGTCAGATTTACATCTAAACCTTACCAGAGGCTAAATCTATGCCAATAACTTATTTCAACTTAATAGCTGGGAAAAAGTGATGCTTAATGAGTGTTATGGACTGAATTGTGTTCCCCTCAAAATTCATCTGATAACGTCTATCTTAGTCTATTCAGGCTGCCATAATAAAATACTAGAGACTTGGTAATTTGTAAGTAACAGAAATGTATTTTTTGCACTGAAGACTGGAAAGACCAACATGAAGATACCAACAGATTTGATGTCTGGTTAAGTACCCTCTTATTGACTCAAAGACTATATACTCCTTTTAATCACTTTTTATTAACTGCTTCCAAAAAACGCAACAGGTGAAGGAACAAATTGATGATATCCAAGTAGAGGTTAATGGCGGCTAATACATACTCTTCAGGTGATAGCCTATGCATCAGTGAGTGTGTGTCATAGATGATGAATCCACAGAAAAGAAGGGATCCCATAGCAGCCACAACCAATTCCATTGTCTCACTATAAAAAAATACCTATAGGCAAGAGATTAAAGTAACAAGTTTATATTTAAGAACAGTATTAAGAACACTAGAGTTACTTGCTCTTAAGTTACATATGCTACATACATATTTGATAATGCAGTACAAATCTGAATATAAATGTTAAAAGCATAAAACGGCAACACAGGTCCACCCTCACTTCTGTTGGATGACAGAATGAGACAATGGCTATCTCCCTTTCTATTAAATTATCCACTTGACCTTGAACAGTAGCATTCCAAATATAAACTATTTAAAAAAATTTTTTTTCAGAATTACATGTGCCACTTGGAGATTAGCTTACAAGTGAGGACCTCTTTCTATGTAATTTAACTCATTTGTTCATTATCTTTCTTTGAATCAACAAAATATAAAACCTTACTTTTAAAAAAAATAATTTTATAATTATTCTATATACAAATCTTTGGATAATTATAACTAAGTGTCCTATCATAAGAGTACACCTCTTACAGCATTTTGTGATTATTTACATAGACATGGCCAGAATTATATTTCAAGTTATTCTGAGACAACTCACCTTCCAAATTCCTGACAAGCACAAAATCCACAACACAGCAAACAGTCTATAAAAACAAAGTGTTAATAATTTAGAATATTGTTCCTCACAAAAACCTCTGTAAACTCATCCAACATTTTCTGAAGAAATAAATCCATCCTGATATTTGTCAAAGAGTAACTGAAATGTAAGAATTTATAAACATATAAAGAATACTGTATAATACCCAGAAATTGAAAGAACAGGTGTGCAAAACTAGTTAAGAGTGTCATTTTTTAAAAGTTTTCAATTGAAATACATTGAAAATATTGATATAAGTATTCCTTGTTTTATTCTGATGTAGTATAGAAATTGTGTACATAAATTTGCCACTGCTATAATTTTATGAGTTGCCATTCATAACATAAACACACACACACGTATAAATTATATGACAAAGGGCACCTAAAAAGTCTATCCTTTGTTATCAAATATGAAACTTGGGAGCCTGCATACACATCTGCTGCTTTAGGATACAAATACAGGGGCCAAATTTACCCTCCCAACTTAAATAAAAACCAGACAATATAGGACGAAACAACAGTTTTCAGATATGGACAGCAAGAAGCACATGACAGTGATTCCTGAGGGAATCAAAGGGAAACAAAGAGGTGAACACCACAACTAATCCAGCTAGAGAGAGTTTCTAGGCTACAGTGTAGAGACAGGAACCCATGTGCAGCCTTGTGGTATCGAGTATGAGGAGATAAGAATTCAGTGTTGGGAGAGGCCAAAGTGGCTGGAATTTGCGGGTTAAAGTTCCTGAGAGAAGACAGCTAGCTATACAGAGAGCTGGTAGCTCTGATGACATGCAGAGGAGTCCCCTCAAGTCTTCAGCTGAATATTGATCAATGCATACATGTGAGAATGTGACAAAGGCTGGGAAAGAACCACCACAGAGAAGCAGGACACACAATGCCCAGCCCACACAGGGCCAGGAACAGTTCACATTCCCACCAGCCAGAGTGGAAAGCCCTCCTCAGGCGTGGAAGCTCTGAGTGATCCTGAGAAGGGCACTATCTCAGTCGTGGGGCCAAACTAACCTAAAACTAAAATTAAAAACTGCTCTGGATCTGCCTAACAGAGCCTCACAGGTTCAGACCATTTCCAAGGAGCTTAGCTGCTTCCTAGAAAAAGAAAGCGAAAAATATTTAAAGAAAAAGAAAAAATGCAATAGAAACTAATTCAGAATGACACAGAAATAGAATTAGTAAACAATGACATTTAAAAATATATTCTAGGGCCGGCCGAGTGGCNAAAAAAAAATTTAGCTGGTATATATAGGCTGGTATTGTCAGTGCCTTAATTGGATGATGTTAGAAACATTTTATTTCATAAAAACATTTATATATTTACTTTTTCCTCAAACTACTGTTCATAACTATTGGGTTGTCGGAAAAGTCGTGACATATTTTTTCTGTTTTTCGTTGCAAAAATGCGTCATGACTTTTCTGACAACCCAATATACCAAAATACAAAAAAGGTCACGAATGACATTTATTTTCCAACTCACATCTTCTACTAGTTTCTTTGAGAAAACTTATTTTCAGTATTTAAAAATTATCCACTAACTTTTCAGTGAACTAACCAGAGTAAATTGAAAAAGTCTATTACATAAAATAATGTTAAGATTCTACTGGCATTAAATTTTAGACTCAAAAATCCAAAAAGATTTGGGTCATCCTATTTATCTCTATAGTGTGTTCCAGCCTAGCAAGTGTGCCTGGCACAAAATTTGTGTCCTGATGACTAAGTGACCTTATTCTAACTGATCTCACTTTTAACTTGGTTTTCCTCTGAAGTTAACAGCCTCTTCTGAGTAGAAACCCAAGAGCAGATACCTTGTCATGTTCCCTGCATTCCTAGCACCTGGGAAAGTCCCTGGCACACAGCAGGCACTCAATAAATATTTGTTCTGGTGAACATATAATAATGACTAATATGATTAGTGAAATTTCAGAGGGAGTGCTAAGTTTAAATTGCTTAATTAAAAGTAAACTTAAGAGTGAAATTAATAAACTGTAGCAAGACAGATTTAACAAAAATCATTTCATTATACCAGCATTTCCAATAGTATATTCTATTCCTCGGAACACTAGTTTCAAAGAGTCAAAGTTAAACAGGTTTCTTTATTGCTAGATCTCTGTAAGACTATACTAATATTCAGCTAATACTTTTTGTAAATCTTCAAGTATGTAGCATTCTCCAAGTTGATATGACCACAAACTACATTTTTTCACCATGCATCTGGAAAAACTGATTCTGAGAAACACGTTCTGGGAAATATTGCATTATATTATACTATATAATATAAAAACTGATGAACATTTAACTAGTTTCCAGGATGCCCTAATCTCCTTAATAGATGGAGCATACTATTTTGTACATGTTAATATTCTACCTAAAAACTTTATAAAATATGGTCTTCTGTACTACTAGAAAGCCTTAAGGGTATATGAAAGAAAAGATATTCCAGATCTAGACAAGATACCTTTTATTCTGAATTATACAAAATCAAAACTCCAAACAAACACTTATTATAAGATCCACTGACATTATATTTTTAAATAGCATATTAGTTTTCTTTAAATCTGAGTGGTTCAAATTTGTCAGTATAATATAATCTCTCTTTACTAAGACCAAACAATCACAACCACATTAATACTTGACAGAATTCTGAATTTGGATGCTGCAAATTGGATAGCACCCAATAAAAAATATCAGTATAGCTGTCATTCAACAACTAAAATGTTTTATTCAAGTTCCCAAAATGAATTCACAAAGTTCTATTGGGTTTGAATTGAAGAAAAAGTCCAAGTTAGAATATGGAAACAAAGTTTTCATTGGTGCAAGTTGAAGTCAGTGTGTATATTCTAATCACAGATCTGTCCCATGTAGCATTTTTCAGGTTTTTAAGTCTACCAGGCCAGGCCCTTCGATGCCTTCACTGCTTTTGCTTTGCTTTTCCCCTTCCCTTTCTCTCGCTTTGCCTTCAGCCTTTTTCTTTGCCTCTGGTTCATCCATACGGGGTACTGTCCATGTTGGTCTAGAAGAGTCTTTTTGTTTCTCTTAATATCAGTCTCCATTTTCATGTCATCTGAATAAAACATGGAAAAACTATTAATACTCACAAATGAAAAAACAACCCTGTGAAAAGACATTTTGATGTAATGAGAACAGAACTGAATGTGGTCTGAAACTACAGAAGAAAAACATCCCTTATCTGTGGGTTGCTCTTTGACTAACACTCTGAAAACCCCTTACAACACATGCAGTGGAATCACGTATGTGCTTCCATGTGTTCCTACAACCATGAAAGAAATTTGTGACAACAAAAGACAACATTTTTAGTCACTAGAAACTTTAAAGAATGTTGTCATGATTGTCCTTTGGAATAGTAAAGGTTAAATAAGAGACATTTAGGATGTATGAGTTTGAGGTACTGCTTTGGGGATAAGTGTATGGTTTTGAGCAAATGTGAGTTGTAAGTTAATCAGATTAAGTGCCTTCTTGAACTAAATAAGATAGCTGAGCCAGTAACAAGTGCACTGACACTTATAATAAAGAGGCCTTACAAGTAAATGAGCTTATGAGGAATGATTAGTCACTTCTATTGAAGTGAACTTGGAAGAGGTGTAGTCGTTAAGGAGCAAGCTTGTGATGACAGAGATGGGCAGAGGACAGAGAAGAATATCCTGGGGCTACGACAGTTTTCTATCCGGGTGACAAACAGAGATCCAGATCTAGTAACAGAAGACTCCGCAGTAAGCTCCACACAGCCATGCTGTGGTATAACCATCACCAACCTTATCTACTGTGTAGGACATGCTCAGAATGCCCCTCCCTGGGACTTAACCAGGGTATAGGAGGTCTTCCATGATGTCTACTACCTGACATTGTAGTAACACATTTACCTGGTTTACTTTCTGTCTCCTCCAAAACAACGTAAATCCCATCAGATGGAGGCCATTTCTCTGATAGTCATTACTGTTTCCACAGTACACAGAAGAGTGCCTGGTATATTTTAGCCATTCAATAGCTTGCTGAATGATAATTTTAGGTGCTATTTTAGATTCTGAGGATATAATGGTCCAAATAAGCTCCTTGCTCTCATGGAGTTTACAATGTCGTGTTGAGGCGTAAATAACAAAGTAAACTTTGGTCTGTGATAAGCAGTTTTTTAAAGAGAGGGGCCAGGACCAGATTAAGTCGGACCTGGTGACTCTGGTAAGCACATGGAAAGACAATGACATGTTCTAAGCATAAGAACGATATAATTTGATTTATGTACTAAAAGTATCACATGGGTTGAAAGGTTAGAAATGAATCAGAGGGAACAAGAGCTGAAGAGAGAAGTGAAAAGGCTACTATCATGGTTCAGATAAGAGATGATGGTCATTTAAAGTGAAAGTATAAAAGTAGGAGGAAAATGGACAGGCCCTGATGTATTTTGGAGCTACTCAAGATGTGCTAACAGTTTAGATGTGGGAGATGAAGGAAAGAGAGACCAAGGATACCTACTAGGTTTGTGGCTTATGAAATTGGGTGGGTAGCTGAAGGAGCACAAATAAGGGGAAACAAGAATTTGAGGGCAGAAATGAGGAACCATATAAGGACCGGTAGATTACTAAACGGGGAGACTCCAGCACCCGCAGTTCCATCCTCAATTAGCTACTGAAATACTCCAAAAATGAGGGCAGCCAGATATTCTCAAAGGCAGGAGATGAGAGAATTCCTCTCTGAGGATGAAAGAGAAAAGGCTTACAGGTTCTGAGACAAGAGATCTCCCACAACAAAATCTCCAAGGGCTAATCAATAATTCTGCAAGTCTAGCAGTTGATAAGCCCTCCTCCACACCTTGTTCCCTCCCTGCAGGCTTCCAACCATCATTTTCATGCCTCACTTTTAAATATAAGCAACTACTGATCACTGAACATTGGAGAGGTCTCTAATATGAAAGAGAGACAAAAAAGAAATGGAATGGAGTTATAAGCCAAGAAGAAAAATACAAAACAATGCACAGAGTAG